ACAGCTTTAACATATTCAGTAACACACTCCAGAGTAAGAGTACATCTCTTTCACAAGTGGGTGCTGCAAGTTTCTAGGTTCACCATTGAATTAATACAGTTGTACAATATTGAACTCAGTATAAGCCCTGTAAGACATAAAATTGAATGAGTTTTTAACCTTTAAAAAAGATCTCCATTTCATTTTATAATATATTGTTCCTTGCAGAAAGACTCATTGTTTTTGCTACTAACACTGAGATGTTGGCACATGCATCTCTAATCTGTATGTATCTGATTATTACTAGTCATAATCGGTTGTACTTGGATCCTTGGTGCCTGTGTATGTCTATAAAGTCATCGGGTAGATTTGAGTGGTAATGTTTATCACCTCTACTAATTAGCATGATGTAATTTTCCATGTTTCCTCCTCAAATATAATACATTTAAAAAAATTTGTTGATTTTTTTTTGTGTGTGTGTGTATATCACACAGAACATCCCAAACCATTTTATTCAACTATACACCCACTTCCCAGATGGCATCCTCCCATAGCCTCCCTCCCCCAACTAGAGCCCTTATACTCTGATATCTCTGTTACTGTCGGCTGTGTTGTCGGCACCCCCAGCCGTTCCCCACTACTTGCCCGTCTGGTGAATCTAGTCAGCCTGTCTAGAGGTCTTTGTTTTAGGAAGGTCAGCTGTTCTCATCTAGCAGCAATCAGTTGTCAATATTCCTTTAGATAAGTTTGGGGTCTGCTGTTCATTTTCCCAGTTCTATGCTGGGTTACTATCTGGGAGTCCCTTTGGCCACCCTGCCCAACAACTCAATAGAAGGTATCTCCTATCTGGCGTTGTTGCTTGTTATGTAGCCTTTAGCTATGAATATGGACTCTTAAGAAATTATATTGGCTCCTTTAATCTTTGGTTATGCTTTCGTTTTGGGTGTTTAAGGCCATACAGTTGGCCCAGATAAACCAATTTATTTTTACTCTTAAGGTCATTTGAGGATCCGTTCCTCAGGGGTCACAGGGGCTTGGGAGGAGCCCCTGGCTCCTTTCTTTTACCAGTTCCACCTATGTGAAAATAAGTCAAAGGTCCTGCTCGACCATGGTTGGCTTCGCTTGGAAGCATGGAGGAAATATTTCCTCTCTGTTGACCCTCCTCTTTGTAGACTGGACACTGGTTCAAGTCCATCTCGTGGGGTCTCCTCGGCCTCCTTGATCAAGAGGACAGGTGACCCACCACAATTACAGGACATTTTGAGAGATGCTCATAGTCCACTGAAACTAGTCAACCTAGGAGGGCAAGGAGCAAAAACTGTCCTTTATGTCCCTCTAACCAAATTATTATAGGCCTCAAAGTATGTCTGTTTTCCATTTCATTCATCGTATTGGTGAAGCTTTCTCCCGTCATTTCT